CGTAGCCAAGATGGTACCAACACTGTTGATAGACATGATGAGACCAGTAATAGAATCTAATAAGGATAGAGATGAATATCAAGTTGATTCGTAAAGGTAAGCTGCATGGTGAAATGGCACGTACCACTAGGACCGCAGGGGCTGCTGGCACCATCTGCAACAACAGCACAGTTGTCATAACGATTGAAGTAGCCGTTGTCTGTGATAGAGGTCAATTAATCGGGGTTAGCGGGATAAGGTTGGAGAGGCGTTGGCGTCCAGTGAAAAATTGGTATATATTACTAACATTGAGCCATGGCGTTGATAGATCCCATCAAACTTCCATCATAACCGTTACAAGCCGAGCTAAGAGGTGAAAAGAAAAGCCGGTAAGAAATTTGTTACTTCATACATCAATGCCTGAAGGTGAACTTACTTGACCATAGCAACGGCAGTATAGAAGTACATGGTCAACATGCCCTTCGAAAAGGCACTTTTCGATTTGCCGGCGGCAAGATTTTGAGTTGCCATTGTTTTCAAGTTTGTCTTACTGAAAATGTGGATGTGATAAAAGAGGATATGCCAAACTTGGGGGCGACCGTGAGGTATATATTTTCTTTCAGTAACGCAAAGGAGAAACTTGTGGAGTGAAGGGGAGGTTAAAAAAAACCCGGATACTTAAATACTGTGTATTTTTGGCATGTATTTCGCTGGCGGAATGGCAAAAACTTTAAGTACGCAGATGTTTAGACCAGCAAACTGTGATCCTCGGCTGCAGCAGAGACTGTTGTCAGCCGGGAACTTGCTGTCTGCGGCCGTAAACTAAGAGGGAAGGTGGGAATCATGGGAAGTCTGTGAAAAGGAGACTGCTGAAAATGGCAATAAATCTGTCGCACGCACACATTGTTTTGTTAGTCCGCTAATGTCCAATTCTATAAGATGTTGTTGCGGGGAAGCTTTAATGTGGGGTTGAAATGGAGAGTGAGGGCTCGGAAGGCAAATGAAACTCAAAGGTCAAACGGAAACTCTTTGAAGTCTAAAACTTGGCAGCTGGTAAGGGAAGCGGGAATCATGTGATAAGGCTTTTGGCTGGCTGGCTGGGATGATGGGTAGGTAAAGTTACACGAGCCAAGTATTGATTATTGCAACCTTATCGCTGGTTTCTTTCTCATGTAATGCGTTTAATGGGTCCAAGTAAAGCATCTAAATAAGTCACCGATAGACACCGGCCGCTATTTCCATAGAGTTTCTGCTGCATCAAACGGCGATTTCATCCCAACGAAACCTACAACAATCAGTTACTTACCCTGGCATTATAACGTGGCTCGTATTCACTGCCAAAACAGGTTCACCATGGCGCGCCCATCATAGTGTGCGACATTATCAACCACAAACAATCTTGCAGTCCGCGGATGGATGAACATCTGGGGAACAGCGCATAAACACCTTATGTTAACACACCTCGGAATGCAGGGAACAACTCTTCATGGCCGATTAGTTGATACCAAGACCAGCATTCATACCGTAAATTAGTCCTATTCCTTTACACAATAAATTGCCCACGGTGTTCACTCACAATTTCTCATCGATCAATATGATGCTAATTAACAAGACAGCAATGTGTATTGTACCCCAGTCAATTACATAAACGTACAAGAGGCTCTAATAGGAAGGCAAGCTTAGCGGGGTGACACGTATGGAAACAAGCTGAACTTTACTACTTCAGGCAATATATGGAGAGAGACACTTGCAGACACATGCTCTAACTAAGATAGCCCCACCTTGAAGCTTAGAACTAAGTTAAGCGGGGGCATAACAGGAAATGCTCACATGGTGTCTGTTTCTTTCAAGAATTCACCGGCAATCTCATACCAGATTGGTGGGAGAATAGTATGCCCCGCGTCATATCCATAATCATTCATATCTCTCGGCATCTATGCAAAGGCTAAATGGTACCACTTTGCGACGCGGTGACCAAGTACACCTTCCTAAGTAAGTGTGGAAGAATTTTCATGACGAGGTGGTGGTCACACTATCTCATCGTTATCACCTACTGAGCGAAAAATTGTGTAAATGGTGAAGAAGAAACAGTGCAAACAGTCGACGTAGAAAAACCTCGTGCTGCTGTAGAGGCATTGTAACACACGGGGTCTTTGGTAAGCATCCGCGCATACGATTCTAAGATTTCTATGCCGGTCCATTCATAATATAAACATGTGGAGGATTACAAGATATGTATTTTTATTGGTCTGAGTGGGCGATGAAAAGTGTGTAGAAAGAAGGAAATACAAGGGAACGTTGTGACAGCCTAGTAAGGAAAAAGCTAATCAAGGCTCTTACAAAATATGGCTAGATGGGCGGGATGGGGGCAGTAATACAGGTAGCATTAAAAATTTCAAATCTTTTCAGGATTGCGTTCACCATCTTCAGAGATGGAAGCAGGCTTTTCAGCATACTCAACGTCGTGAGGGGAAGTCTTGTTGAA